TATCTGCATCTGAGTTTAGAACACACCATTTCCTCTCCATGTATTCAACACCTTCAACTGGAGCTAAACCTTTGTTCTCCATCATGCCTGATAAATCTAATTTATATTTTGGCTTCCCATCAAACTCAAAAATTCCCCAATGCCTCTCAAAGTTTCCAGGAGCAATACTCTTACCATTCTCATCAATCAAGCTGAACAGATAGATTTCAATGGTGCCTTTTCTTGCTGGGGTTCCGGATCCACTCAAAGCATGTCCAAGCAATCCCTGGTTGAATCTTTTTGCATTTTTTATGTTTGCATTTTTATCACCATCAGTAGGCCACCCAACTTCTCCAACTATAATATCCATGGTAGGATATCCAGCTTTTTCTAATGATCGTACAAGAGTGTCAAAATTTGCATCAAACACATTGGTGTAAACCAAATTCCCATCTCTAAGGGGCTTGTTACTTCCATCAAAGAATGCAAAATCCATAGGGAAGTAATCGTTGCCATAGAGACTAAGAAAAGGATAGATATTGACAGTAAAAGGCGCACCATTTGAATGAAGATATTGAATTATTTCTGTTGTAACATCTCGGATTTCAGGCCTAAAGTCACCGGCAGATGGAACTGGGTTTGATTCAGGGGAGTAATAGATATCAGCATTGAAAGGGACAGTGGCTTTGATCTTGGACCCCAGCTCTGCGTTATTGAGAGCTTCCTGTATGTTTTTTAAGGCTGGTAGTGTCGAGTGAATATACGAGTCATTATATGTTTGAAGGAAAGGCTCATTCCCTACAGCTACATACCTGCAAAATTAATTTTGTCAAGCTAAATTACAAAGTCAATTCATATAGGTGACGAACGCTAAGGATATTAAAAATCAGAACGACTTGCAGGAAAGTAAAACAGCTTGTTCATGAAATCATCCCTTAGGTGCTGTTCCATTGAGTGGTATAAATTTCGTTTAACTAATCTGCAAATACATAAATAAAAGCAAAAGACCAAGTAATAATTACGTTATCTATTCAAAGCGGGGTGTGTTCCTATCACAAAACTCAGCTAGACTTTTTTGTATATGGATAATCCAGTCAATAATTCAAAGAATGGACCCCTACGAGGCCACTAATCTAATCATCTAGTCGAGGGGTAAGGATAAAGGCACCTAAAATAGAAAGGCTAATTATTCCTTAATAGTAATACTGAATCAACATCCCACTCAGTAAAGAGGAAAAGGTGATAGAAAAAGACAGCAAATCAGTAAAGAAATTGGGAAGAATAGCTTCTATCTTTGCACTAACAAAGAAATATTAAAAGGAAAATAAGAATAACAAGAGAATCATCCACAGAAATGCAAACCCATATAAGAAATTAGACAAACAAGAAATAAGATAAACCCAATACGAAAAGAGTTAAAGATGAAGAAACTAAGTTACTGAACTTGATGTTGACTCCGCCCGTATAGGAATAACTAGTTACATTAGCATGTACCCAAGAAGCAGCAGCCTCAGTATCCTGACTCATCGTCTGCAACATGTAATTTGGTATGGCTAACATAACTTCAATATCTGTCCCAATGAGGGCTGCTAAGATTTTCTCATCAGCCTCAAACAGTTTCAACTTCTTAAAACCATTTTCTCTCAGCATTTGAACCACCTTATCTGGTGGTAAATGATGCGTTGACATGGTTCCCCAGTTCACTCCAACACTAGGGCTACCTAAAACCATAGGCATAAAGACAAGAAACAAAACCAAGAAACAGTTACAGCACTCCAGCACTCTTGTTTGTGCCATTTTCTTTCTTTTCTTTTAACTTTGGTAAACTTATCTTCAAAGGGGTGTATCTTTGAATCTATCTCGAATTTAGAAAGAATCAAGAATGATTAAAGAGCGAAAATGATTGGCAGTTGACAGGAAAACAGAAGAGAGGGAAGAAGGGGAAGATTTTGGTTCATTCGTGGAGTATACCATGATAAAAATGGTGTATATATACATGGTGTATATTAGTAAAAAAGTAGAGAAAATTCTCTAGTCTAAGAATTCTGATGATTGGCTTTTGAGAAACTTCATAGGTAAGGTGAGAAATTCATTGGTTGTTTCTATATTGTGCAGAAAAAAAGAGAGAGATTCCTTTCTTAATTCTGTTATTCAGTTTTGATGCCAGCCATGCTAAAAATGGTGATATACATGGTAGGGCAATTTACCAGAAGAAAATACATATATTATGCGGGCTCCATCTGTCTAGGTTCTTTCCTTGTAGGATAATTAATTTCATTTGGACTTTATTAGAGCAATAATATTATTCTTACAAAGATTTTCATATAAAATGAGATGATAAAAAATGAATGAAAGAGTAAAACAAAAAGTTAAACTCATTAAATTTACTATTCCATTCATTTTATACGAAGATCTTTGTAAAATTTCTTTGTAATTGTAGCATTACTCTTATTAAATAGCTTTAATTTGTTTAAGGCATCAAAACTAAGGGAGAATTGCGGCTTCGTTTGGCTCAAGTTTGGGAATATTACTTTTAGTATTTCCAATAAAGTTAAACAGTAAAATGTCCAAAAACTCACAATATTATCCAATATTATTCAACTTTTTTTAAACCCCCTAAATTTGTTAATTTAATTAAATACCTCTAAATATTTTTTTTTAAATTACAAAAACACCCCTAAACCCACATTATACTAGATTCCGGCCGCTACCGCTGGAAGTTGGCCGAAATCTAGTAGGATGGCACACTACCGGCTGGATCTTGCCGGTAGTGCGTCGATCTAGCCTTTTCTGGCCAGATCCATGGTGGATCTGGCCGAAAAATGCCAGATCTTTGGCTGTAACCAATCATCAACGACGGCCAACATATGGTAGTCGTTGACCATCAACAACAGCCGTATCTTTGGCCGTCATTGACGAAGATCTACGGCCAGATCTAGCTGTAGATCTAGCCTTTGCCGACCAGATCCACCGTGGATCTGGCCGGAAAAGGCCATATCGGCGCACGATCGGCAAATCCAGTCGGTCATGCACCGATACAGCGACTCCGACCACCCTCCGGCGGTGGTGGCTGGCTGTCCGTATTTGATGGGTGGGTTGGGGGTGTTTTTATTAACTTTTAATGTTTTATTATATGGGTGTTTTGTAAAAAAACAAACATAGGGGGTATTTTATTAATTTATAAATCCTACATCGTAATACCCGCTCAATTCAACTTTTTTTGAACTTTTTTCAAAAAACTTTTCCCAAAAACGTAAAAATGTGAACCAAACGGAGCCTGCATTTTCCCACCCAAGGTTTGGCGAAATCGCCTTTCCCACCCTTCAAGTTTCAAAATGACATTTTCCCACCTTTAGTTAGGTTTCGTTATGTTTTTTGTTAATATTTTACTGAAAAGAAGAAAACATCCTTAAATATTTGACTTTATAAAATTTTTATTATTTTTTAATTAACCAAAAAATCAACTATTAAAAAGTCCAAAAAAAAAAAATAGTTAACCCCACATAAAAAGTTAGGAATAATGCTATAAAATTGTTTAAAATTAAATGACCTTAATATTTATTTATTTATAACATCATCAATATCTCATTACTATTTTTCAATAATCTACTAAATTTATAATGTTTTTCATAATATAATGATTTTTATTTTTATTAATTAATATAGAAAATCAATATTCTTAATTAATTAAATAAACAAAGGAAAAAATATATTTTTACATTACTATTAAATAATATAGTAAAGATTTTGACTTAACTAAATTTTAATTTATAATAAACTAATTAAAAAATAAAATGTTTAAGAGTATTTTCATCATTTCAGTCAAATATTAAGAGAAAACACTAATATAACCTAACGAAAGATGGGAAAGTGCTATTTTAAAACTTGATGGGTGGAAAAGTGTGTTTTGCCAAACCTTGGGTGGGGAAAATGCCTCTCTTCCTCAAAACTAATTTATTATTTATATACGCGTAATCATGCGCAATAATTTCGTAAGAATAATTTTTTTTAAAAAAAAAAACAAATCACTTTTCTTCTACTGTAACTGCAAGAGCACAAATACATCTTTTAGTATAAAAGCCTAAGTGTGACACTTTGCTTATAGCCTTTTGCTTTCATCAAATTCAGTCAAAATTTTAAAGTTTAAGATCTCTTCTAAAATTCCTTAAAAATTTCTCTTGATTTTTTAAATGATTAAAAGATGGAAATAGGTGATAAAATTTGCAGTGAATGAGAAGATGTGATGATCAGGTAACTTCAATCTTAACTATCTTCATGGAAAGGGGAAGAACAAAAGACGGTATATTTTGTTCCTTGAGAGTCAAGTAGTAGTGAGAAAACAAGAAATTAATAACAAAATGGCTTTACACCTTTTGTTGACTAGCTTTTGACAAGGATTGAAGAGGATCCTCTAAACGCAACCTTTCCAGTCAGAATCTACGCGTTTCAATCTCATTCAGATTCAGTCTTGCTTTCTTTATTTTGTTTTGTGTTTTGTCAAGATTGCAACTTTTCATCGTCTTAAAAGGAGTGGTTGCCATTTTATGAGGAAGAGCCATGGTGCCTTCCAAAGAAAAAGGAAACTGGATAAATCCCCCAAGGAAATGCTGCTACCTTCACATGCTCAACAACACCCCCTCCTACAGACACAAAATCACAAAACTACCACCCAAGACAAATTATTTAGTTAAAAATAAGAATGAAAATCAAAACTCCTGCTACAGTGCAAGAAAAAGTTTATACTTTTTGCAGGATTTATTAGTCTCTGCACAAGCTAAAATCTTGGGTGCAAAGGAGATTCATGGCCATTTATGTAATGTGCGGCATAACTAATGAGAACTTTCTCTAACAGTTAAAATTCAGTTCGAACCAGTTGGGTTAAATTATGATCTCACTCACATTATCAAATACTAGAAATACTTGTTTCAACAAAGAGCAATCCATGCATGGGATTAACAAAACAGATTGAGCTAACTGAGCATCTCACAAGGTAAAAATATGTACAATTAAAAGACGATCCAAAACAATAAAGGAAAAACTTTTTTTAAAAAGATATAAATCAGATTCATGTTACATTCAAATCAGCTTAAGTACTATCAATTCCTTTTAAAGCTTCCATTCTGCATAGTTAAAAATAGCAGGAAGCACCAGTGCCATGTTACCGACGAAATATGTCAAAACTAAGAACAAGCTCTCCAAATTGATGGCAAATCAAAATTGAGTTCAAACTGGGGCTATTTCTTCACCAGAAGAATGAAGATCACGAGTGGCATCTTCATTGAAGCATGCTTCCGGCAGCCTAAAACTCAAGCAATACATCGCCTGGACAGTAAAGAAGTGCTCAGAAAACATGAAAACAACATGATTGTCAGACTTATGTAAATATGAACCCAAAAATCTATTAAACAGAGCTTTTAAATAATTATCTAAATACTTGAGAGACCTTGATCTAGGTGGTAGGTTGTACCTTGTTTGGAGCAACATTCCTAACCTTATGAAATATATGGTCTTTTATGGAGGCATTTAAGGCAGATTCTGCCTCCTGCAAAACAATTGAATAAAGCAATTCAGATTACAATATTCACGGAATTATCAAATCGATAGAAATAGATTCTGTATTGGCTGCAGCATCTGACACGTTAGAGATACATTAGTAAAACAGTTGAGATGGACAGGACAATATAAGGCAAATGGCATCAAAAGCAGGGGCCTGATAACTACTAAAATAAGCTACCCGTTAGGTTTCAAAATGACATGAAAATGTTGATGGCCTTAAAAAATAAGCTAAAGCAATTATTCAACTTATCCATGGACCAGTAAAAGAGCATAAAATATATTAGGAAAAAAAAAAACACCAGCATATCTTCAAAAACTTACTGAAATTATCAATTCTTCAGTTTCATTTGCCCGCATAAAACAATAGCAATGAATCCAAGGAAGAGATCCTTTCCAATATTTCCTCTGGATGAGGCCCTTAAATGCATCTGCAAAGAAAAAATGAAATATATAAGATAAATTACAACAATTTATGACCAAGAATANCCACTTGACGCTGAAGCCTCTACTGACGTGGATTTGTTGACTTTATTAACCACGTTTTCTTTTTAGGCAACCCAAGTCGGCTGCCCAAGTTCAATTTATCTTACTCATCAGTTGTCGCTGAAATATTTTAAAATTGCTTTCTCTCAAACTCAGTGTACTACGATCACCAAATATTTGACCTATGTTTTTATTTAATTCAAAACAAATTATTCTTATTCCTTTTAAGAAGGCTATTACATATTATTCCTATCCTATCCGTATCAACTACCAAGAAAGAATTTCTTTTTTGTTGTTCAGTTACGTTTACACTTTACAGCCGACAGCTAGAAGCAAACGTCACTCTGTTTGGTCCCTACTTATCTGTCATTGGTGTCTGTATAAGATTGGAACCCGTGCAATATCTTATCTTATTATTATATTTATTTATTTATTTATATATATATTTTTTAAGGGATGAACAGTCTTAAGTATTCTGTATTTTTCGAAGAAGTTGAAATCAGATAGGTTCCCAAAAAAAAAATCGGAACTAGAACCACATAGTATAAAAAATTATTCTTGGGTATTCTGTAAAAATCAATTACCCCCTATTAGTTTAAAAAATTATAAAAATACCTTAAAAATTTATAAATACACCCCTAACAATTTTTTATTACTTATTTATTTGTGTCTAATGTGATCTATAAATTCTTTAATCTCTAAGCAACACTTAAATCTAATCAATTCATCATAATTCACATAAAATTTCTCAATCAAAACCAAGATATAAACAATTAATTAAACAATCATACTATAAATATATAATTTAATATTATAATTAATTAAATTTCTAATCATTTAATTAAGTATGTTTCTAATATTTATAATTAAATATTATAATTAGTTAAGTAATTATATTATAAATCTATAATGTAATGTTATAATTAATTAAATTTTTAATCATTCAATTAAGTAATGTCCTAATGTAATAAATTACTGATGTTTATAATATAATGTTATAAAATTATAATTAATCAAATAACCATTTAACTATGTAATGTTATAATTAATTAAGTAATTATTTAATTATAATGTAATGTTTTAATTAATTAAATTTCTAATTATTTAATTAAGTATTGTATTAATGTTTATAATAGAATGTTATAATTAATTAAGTAATCATACTATAAATTTATGATGTAATGCTATAATTAATTAAATTTCTAATCATTTAATTAATTATTGTGCTAATGTGGGAAATTACTAATATTTATAATATAATGTCATAATTAATTAAGTAATTATATAATGTTATAATTAATTATATGATCAAACTATAATATAATGTTATAATGAATTAAGTAATCATACTATAAATCTTTAATGTAATATTATAATTAATTAAATTTGTAATAATTTAATTAAGTATTGGACTAATGTTTATAATAGAATGTTATAATTAATTAAGTAATCATACTATAAAT